AAACAGAGGATGAGATGGTTGGATGATATCACCAACTTGCTGCAGTCTATGGGGTTGCAAAGAGTCAGACACGATTGAGCAATTGAGCGACTGAACTGAACTTAAGCTCTCTCACTTTAAAATGTATAGAAATGCTGAGTGAGAAATAAACAAAAGAAAGAACAGGAGGGAGAGAGAGAGAAGAGAGAGAAAACCAGAGGTAAATTTATCTGTCTTATTCTGGCATGTGAATAGGAAAAAAAAGAAGTGAGTGGAGGAATTTTACAAATTCCTAGAATTTGTATTTGAGCCTGTTGTCACCCAGGTCTGGAGTTACACTCACTTCATGGCAGAGATCCCTAAGCTGAGAAATTTATGTGAAAAGGACCCAAGAACCAAAACACACATCCTTGACCCCACTGCCTGAACAGTGACACTGAAACTATCTGCACCCTCCCTCTTCACACATTCACACAGCTTCCTCTGCAAGAACTTGACTTTACTATTTCATTGTCTACAGAGCCTTGTTTTATGTGTGCTTCTGTCTAAAATCATCTTGTTTAATACAAATTATTCACTTATTAACATTGGACCCATATCCAATGGTACTATAACACATGCCTGAAGGGAACTTTTCTAACATGAGTATTTTCTCTGTAACATGCATCTCAGCCTCTTGTTCATAACGACACTAGACACAGCACATTAGCAGTAGCTTAGGGATAATTTCAAGCAACAAAATCACCAACAAAAAGCCCAAATATGAGAAAAGACATAGTAATCAATGTACCGCTAAAGAGACACTTGTTTACCTATAAGATCTAAAACAAGAAGGCAGAGCATTACCTTGACCTCCGCTGAGAACAGGCACAGGGGACATATTTTTCACAGCTCCACTCATGAGTATGTCCACAAATGGCAGAGAGTCACAGGTATTGCTTTTGAGGTCGCAAACACATTTTAACAAGTAGGTGAATTTGCAAATACAAATTCTGCAAATAGTACGAATCGTCTGTAATTGCAAAACTTTCCTGAGGGAACATACCTTAAACTCAAGTGCACGTGCTAAGTTGCTTCAGTGATGTTTGACACTTTGCAATCCTATGGGTCATAGCCCACCAGGCTCCTCTGTCCATGGGATTCCTTAGGCAAGAATAGTGGAGTGGGTTGACATTCCCTTCTCCAGGGGATCTTCCCAACCGAGGTATCGAACCTGCTATATCTGCTACAATGGCAGGCAGATCCTTTACCAGTAGCACCACCTGAAAAGACTACCTTAAACTCAGGCCACTCAAAAATTCTATTCTGTTTAAGATGTGGTCACAATCCAGTTACATACACAGGAAGAAACTATCTACCACAAGTGAGACAGCACACAAGGACTTAGAAACCCAAGAATATCTAGAAATATAATTATTCAATAGAAACTATAAGATAAAAATGTTTAAAGTGATTTTTAAAATAAAAGAAGGGAGAAGAAAATCAAGATGTGATCTTAAAAGATCAGACAGATATGAAAACAACCGGACAGAATTTCTAGAAATAAAAAATATAGTCAATTAAAGAAAAAAGTTAATGGAAAGGTCAAAAGGTAAACTAAACAGTTAAAAAAAGAGAAATAGTTCACTTTAAAACAGATCAGAAAAAGTATTCATTCTAATCAATACAGAAATCAAAAGCAGAAAATCAGAAAATATAAATGAAATCATAATCTTGTTACCAAGTGTTAATATTTGTTGATATTTTGTGTATACCATTTTACATATATATACATATGTGCATACATATAAACTATATTTTATAGAAATAATAATAAAATATTGTAGCTTATTTAATTTGGCAATTTGTTTTTAACAGTTTCCAGTTAATTATGCTTCTACAATGTGATTTTAATTGATTGTATTTATTCCACTGATGTGTTATTTTCTTAGCTATTCCTCTGCATGAAGTATTTGGTTTTTATTTTTATTAAATAAATATTGCTGTACTGATTATTTTTATACATATTATTTTGACCACGATTGTTTATCTTCCTAGAATAATTTTGTAGAAGCACTATGTTTAGGGCAAGACTTTTATTTTTTAAGCTTCTTCATAAGTTACATCTGACTCTCAGGAAAGTTTTACAAATTTATGTTTTATATAATGCTGTATAAGAAAATCTGTTTCCCCATATTTTCTCCAATTTTGGAGTATTAGCATCAGTATTAAATTTTGCTACTTTCATCAGTATGAAATGTACCATCTTGTCTTAATTATCATTTACTTAAGTGCTATAGAGGTCTTAGCATCTCTGTGTCCCCTAAACACTGTAAAAAATGGCTGGCTGACTCTAAGAATATATATAAGGTGGCAACTTTAGTGAATTTATCAGGTTCAAGGCCTGACCTCTAATTAACCTTGTAAATTTGGAAATATCAATATCTATTATAAAGCAATTTATTCATTTTAATGAGGAGCTGTGAGGAAACAGAGATGTTAAGTGAAAGAAGGCAACTCTTTCAAAATGTTTAAATGGGATAGAAAAGAGAAATCCAATTTAATGAATAGCTATCATCTCGGACAGATACAAAAGTTTTTAAAAAGAAAAAATATATTTTCCTTGTGATGAGAACTCTCGGGATTTATTCTTTTAGCAACTTTCACATATAACATACAGCAGTGTTAATTATGGTAGTCATGTTGTACATTACATCCTCTGTACTCATTTATCTTATAACTTGATGTTTATATCTTCTGATCATCTTCATCCAATTCTTCCTCCTCCCAATTCCCCCTATGATCACATATCTGAACTCTTTTTCTGTTTGTTTGTTTGTTTGAATCACCCAAAATACTATGTTGTTTCCCGGCACACAACATAGTTATTTGGTATTTCTATACACTACAAAATGATCAATATCAATGAATATTTTTATGCTCCTTACCTTGCACTCTTCATGAGGTAGATTTGTTGTTTCCACTTCTGAGGTTATGTTTTTTCCTTCTCCAATTTCTCTGCTTCCTCATTTTGGCCAGTTCTCTGTTTATTTCTATTTGTTAGCTATGTCATGTTGAGTCCTGCCCCAGGCCACAGGTGCAAGGCCTTGCACCAAGGCCTCAGAAGCAGAGCCCAGAACCAAGGTCACCTCCAAAGCTGACTAAGTCCCTTTGTAACTGTTGCCAAAAGTCCCTGATCATCACTCACAAGCTTCCTGACTCCGAATTAGGCCAAGACGTCCACTCCAGCAAGCACCATGTAATACCCTAACCAATCACCTAATGGGAACCTTCCAACAGGAATTTTCTCTGTCTTGAGGCTATAAAAATGAGCTATTAATTCATGAAAACTGTTAGCTTTCCCTGATCTGTCAGGAGGTGGGCCCACTAAGCTCGCAGTGCCCACTTTATCTCTGCTCTTTGTTGTTAATAACCTCACTCCTTCTGAAATGCTCTGTGTCTAGAATTTCTTTTCCAACCTGTGCTTGGATTGCCTCAACAGGTCAGTTACATTTCCCATCTTGGAGAAGTGACTTTATGTAGAAGATGTTCTATGGGGCCTGGCAGTACATCCTCCTTGAGTGTATACGCTCTAAGGAGTGTCCCCTGTATGGGCCAACTACTATGGACATGCAGGTAGGTGGGGCTCACCCCGGCCTAATTAGCTGCGAGGCTGTACCACATGCAGTGGCTGTGGCAGGGGTGGTTTGGGTCTCTTTTCTGAAATAGTATTTTCTTAGTTTGGAGACCAACAGTTCCACCACTGTGTCATAAATGCAAACACCTACAGATTAATATTCATTTATTTCAAAATAATAATAACTACTATGTATTGGGTACCTTTTATGTGCCTGGAGCCTGGAGCTTTAACATGCACTATCTCATTCTATCCTTTGGGCAGGCTCCCGGAGGTGGTGAAGGACAGGTAGGCCTGGCATGCTGCAGTTCATGGGGTCGCAAAGAGTTGGATATGACTGAGCCACTGAACAACAATCCTTTTAATAAATCTTAAAGTTCTCACTGTCACATTCAAACCTGAAGGACCCAACAGAAGATGAGCTTTTTTTTTTTTTTTTTTGGTGATGTTTGTTGTTGTTGCTGTTGTAAAATACAGATAACATGAAATTCATCATTTCAACCATTTCAAATTATACAATTCAGTGCCATTTAGTAAATTCACAATGTTGGGCAACTGTCACTACTAGCTGGTTCTAAAATGTTTTCATCACCCTTAAAAGAAACCTCCTATTGATTAAGCAGTCATTCTCTATTTACTCCGTCTCCTAGTTCCTGGAAACTAGTAGTATACTTTCTCTTTCTATGGATTTGCTTATTCTGGTTAATTCATATAAATGGAATCATAAACATATGGTCTCTTTGTCTGGCTTTTTCCTCTTAGTGTATAGTTTTAAAGGTTCATTTATGATGTGCATATAAATACTATATCCCTTTTATGGCTGAATAATATTCTATTGTAAGATTATGTCACTTGTTTACCCATTCATCTGTTGATGGACACTTGGATTATTTACATTCTTTGGATATGTGAATAATGCTGCAATGAACACTGGCACACAGGTATCTGTTTACATCCCTGTTTTCGATTATGTTGGGTGTATATGTGGGAATGGAATTACTAGATCATGTGGTAACTCTGTTTCACTTTTTGATAAATTGCAGAAATCTTTCACAGCAACTGTACCATTTTATATTCCATCAGCAATGTGTGAAGTTTCCCACTTCTCTACATCTTTTCCAACACATACTACAACACTTAATATTTTTCACTTTTTAGTTATAACATCCCAGTAGGGATGAAGTTGTTCTAACTATATTTTATTAGATTCTGTGTTTGTCTATTTGGCATCCATTCATCACAGGTCAAAACTTGTATTAGCTTTTTTTTTTCCTGGTTTTTTGCATTCTTTTTTTTTCAGTCTCTAAGTTTTTATCAACATGAGTTTCCAAAAACAAGCATCCATATTAGTTGGGGTGGGGGCGGGGAATGTGGGAGATGAGGGGCAGGGAAGAGGAATTCTCCTCTATTGGTAATAAAGCTCCAGGTTCATCCCATAATGGGTTTCATAGTCCCCCAGAGACATGTGGTCTTTAAAAGTCATGTACCCCGTCTTCAATACCATGTTTTTCCAACAGGTACCAGTTTGGGCTGTGATCAGCCTCTTAAGGTCCCCAATGGTGTCATCAGTATTGCATTTAATGCAGACTTTCTTCCCCAGACAGTCACTACCAACAACCTTGATCATCCTGACTGGAGCTCAAATCACCTGGAACCAGCTGATGCCACAATCTCCTCGCTTGAGTGTAGAGCTCAGGCCCTATTTTCTATATTCTTGATGCTGTGGCACTTGGGGACCTCACAGATCCAGGGAGAGAATACTCCTCCAAAGGCTAGCTAATTCCTACAGAGAATAACTATTTGTCTACTGAGCATGCCTTTAATGTGCAAACTAAACAACCCCGAGTCTATACCCCCAACCATCTCCTTATCCTACTCTCACACTAAACCAGTATCTCCCCTGCTCTAAATCATCCCAGGGCTGGGTATCAGGCAACTAGAGATCAAGTCTATAGCCCAGAGCCCATGGAATTATTCAAATTAGTCAATCTTAAAAACTATTTACCCTGCTCTGCCTTGTCTTTTTGTTTTCTTTTATGATTGTTGATGGTGAGCATCACTAATTATTTTGCTGAAATGAAGGCAAGAATATTAACTTTATGGGAAAAGTATGCATTATTGGTGGAACTGTGTCCCTCCTGAAAGTCATATGTTGAAGTCCTGACCCCCATTGCTTCATCATATGATCTTACTTGAAAATAGAGTCCTCACAGATGTAATTAATTAAGCTGAAGTCACACTGGAGTAGGGTGAATCACTAATCCAATAGGACTGATGACCTTTTAAAAGGGGGAAATTTGGACAAAGAGACACTCACATAAGGACAACACCATTTGAAGACTGGAGTTATATTGTCACAAGCCAAGGAACTACTGGAAGCTGGAAGAAAAACCTGGAACAGCTCCTTTCCTAGAACCATCAGCAAGAACATAGCCCTGCCAACACATTGATCATGGACCTCAAGAACTGTGGGACAATAAATTTCTAATGTTTAATTCAAAATTTTTGTGGTACTTTGTTATGGCAGTTCTAGCAAGCTAAGAAATCATACAATAATTTATGCAGGAGGAGAAGGGGTAACAGAGGATGAGATGATTGAATGGCATCACTGACACAATGGACATGAGTTTGAGCAAACTCTGGGAGATAGTGAAGGACAGGGAAGCCTGGTGTGCTGCAATCCAGCGGTTGCAGAGTCAGACACGACTTAGTGACTAAACAATAATTTATGGGTCATACATAACTTTTTTTGTTACTAATCCAGACATTGCCAATCCATTAACAAAATACACAAACATGTACAGTAATAATGAGATTCAATAACCTTTTCTATTTTGATGACATTCAGTCATATAAAACCATAAATTTAAACAAATTTTTAATTTGTTGTTATAAAAGTATTTTTTGGCAAGATAGGAAGATAGACTATTGTAGTGTTAGCCCTTACACTTAGGTCTTTGATTGATCCATTTGGAGTTCTTTTTGGTATATGATATGACTTCATTTTTCTGCATGAGCATTTAGTTTTTCTACCACCATTTTTAAAAAAGATTATTATTTCCCCAGTAAACTGTGGTGGCATCCTTGTCAAGTATCAATTGCCCATAAATATATGGGTGTATTTCTGGACTTGCAACTCTATATATATCCTTATGCCAGTACCACTGTCTTTGACTACTGTAGCTTTTCAGTAACTTTTGAATTTGGGAAATGTGAGTCCTCTAACATTGTTGGTGGATTCTTTACCCCTGAGCCACCATGGATTCCCTTTCAGTGGTTCTGAGAAAAAATGCAAAGCAATCAATTTAAACCTGTACCTCATGCCTTACACAAATATAAACTCAAAATAGATCATAGACTTAAATGTAAGAGCTAAAACAATACATTTGTCAGAAAAAAACCTAAGAGTAAATCTTCACGATTATAAGTTAGGCAAAAGTTTCTCAGATACAATAACAGAAGCATAAATGATTAAAGAAAAAGATTTTAAATTTATCAAAATTAAGTGTATTTTCCTTCAATTTTAGTATATGTGCTGCCAAAGCGAGCACTGTATTTTGCTTCAAAAGTTTTTTTATTTTCACTAAGAAAGTGACAAAATAAGCATGTTGCTGATAAAAGACTTATCTCCAGAGTATATAAAGAACTAAAAAATAAAAAGACAAATCAACTCTAAAATGGGCAAAGAATTTGAACTGACATTTCTCCAAAGAAATGTTCAACATCACTAGCATCAAAGAACTGCAAACCAAAACCACAAAGAGTGTTTACAAATAGCTCATACAGCTCAATATTTTAAAAGGAACAAAAAACCCAATCAAAAAAGTGGGCAAAATGTCCAGACATCTTTCAAAACAAGACATACAGATGGCCAGTATGCATAGGAAAAGACACTCAACATTACTCATTATTAGAGAAATAAAAATCAAAACTACAACCTCACACCAGTCAGAATGGCTATCATCAAAAAAATCTACAAATAATAAATGCTGAAGAGGATGGGTAGAAAAGGGAACCCTCCTACACTGTTAGTGGGAATGTAAACTGGTACAGCCACTCAGAAGGACAATTTGCAAGTTCTTTAAAAAACTAAAAATAGAGTTACTTTATGATCCAGCAATCCCACTCCTGGGTACACACCCAGAGAAAACTAAAATTAAAAAAGATACACACATGCCAACATTCACTGCAGCAGTATTTACAATAGCCAAGACATGAAAGCAACCTAAATGTCCACTGACAGAAGAATGAATAAAGAAGATGTGGTGTATATACACAATGGAATATTACTCAGCTGTGAAAAAAGAATGAAATAATAGCAACCATTGACAAGCATTTGGAAAATCAGAATTCTTGTGTATCACTGGTGGGGATATAAAATGGGGCAGCTGCTTTGGAAAATAAGTTCCTCTAAAAGTTGACATAGAATTACCACATAACCCAGCAATAACTTTCCCAGGTACATACACACTCGAGAAAGAGAACATATATCATATAACACAAAAACTTGTATGCAAATATTTGTACCAGCATTATTCATACCAGCCAAAGGGTGGAAACAGTTCAAATGTCTGTCAATTGCTGAATACATAAAGAAATGTGACCTATCCTTACAATGGAATGATATTTAGTCATAAAAAAGAGAAGGAAGTACTGATATAAACTTCAACACAGATGAACTTTGAAAACATTATACTATAATAAAGAAGAACTTTGAAAACATTATACTATATTAAAGAAGCCAGACACAAAAGGTTATGTATTGTATGGTTTCATTTCTATGAAGTGTCCAAAATAGGCAAATCCATATAGACTGAACTGAAGCAGTGGTTGCCAGATTCTGGAGGGAAGGATAAGATGGTAAATGCCTACTGATATGGGATTTCCTTTGGGAGGAGCAGTGATGAAATATTCTAAAATTAGTGATGACGGTTGCACAATTTTGTGAATATACTAAAAAGTATACTTTAAAAAATGCTGAATTGTATACTTCAAAAGCAGGAATTTAATAATATATGAACCATATCTCAACAACAACAAAAGAATATAGATAATGGAATAGATTTGGTGATAGAGGAGAAATGTGTTCTGTTTGAAGAAATTAACAAGTCAAGTCTTGGTGGCTCAGATGGTAAAGAATCTTCCTGCAAAGCAGTAGACCTAGGTTCAATCCATGAGTCAAAAAGATCCCCTGGAGAAGGGAATGTTTACCCACTCCAGTATACTTGCCTGGACAATTTCATGGACAGAGGAACAGGCAAACTACTGTGGGCTATAGTCCATGGGGTTGCAAAGAATCGAACATGACTGAGGAGTCAAACATCATTGGAAGGACTGATGCTGAAGCTGAGGCTCCAATAGTTTGGCCATCTGATGCAAAGAAGTGACTCATTGGAAAAGTCCCTGATGTTGGAAAGATGAAGGCAGGAGGAGAAGGGGACAACAGAGGGTGAGATGGTTGGATGGCATCACTGCCTCAGTGGACATGAGTTTGAGCAAGCTCCGGGAGTTGGTGATGGACAAGGAAGCCTGGCATGCTGCAGTCCATGGGGTCACAAAGAGTCAGTCATGACTGACCGATTGAACTGAACTGAACTGATAGTGTATCAGGAGGAGGGCATAGCAACTCACTCCAGTATTCTTGTCTGGAGAATCCCCATGGACAGAGGAGCCTGGCTGTCTACAGTCCATGGGGTCTCAAAGAGTGAGACACAACTGAGCAACTAAGCATAGCAGCACAAGGTGATGGACCAAGGCCTGGCCTTTGCACTTCTCCCGGCCTCATCTGTCATCACTCTATGTCTCAAAATTTTTTCTCAACAGTAATGAGTTGCATTCATTGATTAAACAAATATGTAGTGCCCAATATGAGGAATAAAAGAGTGAGAAAAGCAGACATAGCCCCTGACTTCAGGGAGCTTGCACTCTAGAAAGGTAAGCAAGTAGTTATATTTTAATGTGCTTTGTCCCATGACTAAGAAAACAAGCTAAGACACTATCCCATTCTTCCTCCATCTGGTTGAGCTAAGTGCCTCTTCACTGTGGTCTTAGAGCATCCTTTACATACTTTAATTAACTTACCACATTATTTTTGCTACAATTATCTACATTTGCATCTGTCATCCTAAGTAAATGTCACTTTCTCAAATTTGACTTAATATCTCTATAAACTGTAACAATGCTAATGAGATAATATGAACTCAATAGTTGTTTGCATCTGGTTATGGTTAAGAGTATATATTCTGGAGCCAAATTCAGTTCAGTTGCTCAGTCGTGTCTGACTCTGCGACCCCATGGACTGCAGCATGCCAGGCCCGCCTGTCCATCACCAACTCCTAGAGTTCACTCCAACTCATGTCCACACTAATGCCATCCAACCATCTCATCCTCTGTCGTCGCCTTCTCCTTCCATCTTCAATCTTACCCAGCATCAGGGTCTTTTCAAATGAGTCAGTTCTTCGCATCAGGTGGCCAAAGTATTGGAGTTTCAGCTTCAGCATCAGTCCTTCCAATTAATATTCAGGACTGATTTCCTTCAGGATGGACTGGTTGGATCTCCCTGCAGTCCAAGGGACTCTCAAGAGTCTTCTCCAACACCACAGTTCAAAGACATCAATTCTTCAGCAC